CACAAATAGCCTCAAAGATGGCAGTCAAATCTGTAATAGCCAAAAATTAAAACAGTCTAATTAGTCAGTGATAGGGAGTAGTCAAGTTAATTATAATATATCAAAACTACAGAATATTGTGCAGCTAGTAAAAATGTATAGAATGCATATAGATGCGCAACAATGTTCAGTTTTGCTAAACAGAAAAATTATGTTAAAAGCAAAATACATTATGTTTTTTAGATTAGGAATGTGTGTACATGTGTACATTTAAATGTATAATATGCATAAGAAGAAATATAAAAAGCTATCTTCAGTTTTAGGTATTGTCTTTTTCTTCATCTTTCTTCATATCTAAATTTTCTGATTTGTCTATAATGGGCACACATTTCTTCTGAAATAAACATATAAAATGTATATAATAAAAAAAATTCAGGATATCAATGTACTCTTTATAAAAGAAATGTCCCTTAAATTGTAGCTGTTGGGTTAAACAGGAAGTCCTTGTGAGGTAATATTGGATGATAATGGTGGGTCCAAATAGAGAGGAATAATCTATACACAAAAAGTCATCTGATTAGCATGTTTCATGTTTTCGTGTATCTGTAAGATTTTGTAAAACTAAAACTGAGATTTTTCTGCATCCATGCAACCGATTCTTTAGAATATACTGCCTTTTATTTTAGATCAAAGCATCAAAATTGTCTTTGATCCCAAACAGGCATGTAGATCCAACATCTATATTTGAAGTCAACCTATTTATAATCACAGATTTTTTTTTAAATCTCTGATTTCCTTTTTTATCCCCGTGATGCAAAGAAGGTTAGTTAGTGATAGTACCACTTTCAAAGCAATAGCTCTGCTTTGTTTCTGAAGCAGCCTTCTTTACTAATACAGGAAATTAAAAATGCAAACACCATAAGCTAGTCAATCAGGAAAGCAGCATTGTGCATGTTATGGCTTTGAGGTTCAAATTAGGGAATTAGATTTTTTCCCCCTTAACAGAAGTATGTTCACTAAGTAATTTGCTTTCTTTTAACTGGAGTTATCTCCTTTCATTAACTGGAGAAGTAAATTCAAATTAAAATCCTTATTTGTCAATTACTGCTGGAGGCATGCTCAAGCCTGTGTAAGGACCTAAGCAATAAAGCTCAACAACTATAATTTTAATTATTGTTATCTCAAAGTTCTCGAAAGGAATAATTTGGGATAGGGAAGAAATTGGAAATTTCTAGTTATTGCTGACTTAAAGGCAGATATTTCTGAGGATTTTTAATTTATTTAATCATTAAAAATGTCAGTGAATTTAAATTTTCCTAGGCACTGGGGATAGAGGGGTGAATATAACGACATAGTCCCTATCCTCAGACAGCTCCCATTCTCGGGGGAGTGAAAGTTAACACGTGAGCAACTGTAATTACAAATCACGACGAGTACTTCTGAGGAAAGAAGCACAGTCGGAGAAAGAATAATGGGGAGATGCTACCTTGGTGAGTCTGGCCCTCTTCCTTAAGAAGGTGACATTAAAGCTTTGTCTCAAAGAATGACAGTCACTCATAACACCCTTCTCTGGATTTTGTTAGCATCACTCTTTTCTGATTTTCCTACTATTTTTCTGGCCATTCTGAATCAGCTTTCACTGTGAATTCCTTCTTTTTCTATCCAATTTTTAGACTCTCACATTCCTCAGAGCTAAGTTATATGTCCTCTTCTCTTCTCACTCCAAAGTTCCTCCTAAGGCAAGTTATTCCATTCCTATGACCTCAAAAGTCATTTACAAGTAAACAATTCCCTAATATAATTTTCCAGGCTAGACTTCTTTTTCTAACTTTGGATCCATATGTCAATGGCCAACATGACATCTTCACTTGAATATCACACAGGAATCTCAAATTTAACAGAGCCAATGCAAAAATCAATATATTTCACTCTTGAATATTCTCCTCCTTTAGCAGTCTCCACTTTCCTAAACAGGACTATTCACTCAGTTGCTGTATCACTAATTCAGGAGTCAACCATGACACCTGCTTCTTCCTTATCTCTTAATACTGGATGATAATGATAGGTACTGGTAATTCAGCCTTGTCTAGTTGATAGCTAAACTATCTATTAAATTGTATCACATTATTCCATCTCCTCTTCCATCAACTCTTGCTTGTATACTATAAGTCTTTACTTACTCTTGCATCCATTTCTGCCCCTTTCCAATTCATTTTCTTAAATGAAAATCTCTTCAGATTACTCCCTGATTTTAAAATTCTTCCATTGTTTTGAAGATCAAGTCTAAAATCATTTAAATGGTCTCTAAGACCCTGCATGTTTTATCCACTGCCTAAACTTTTAGTCTCATCTCATGCCAGTCTTAGCATTATTCTCTGTGCTTCAGCAACAATGTGCTTCTTTCAGTTTCTAAAATAAAAAAGAACTTTCTTTCTTAAAGACTTTGCACATGTTGTTTCTTCCATGTAGAACATCTCAGATCCCCATGCTATATAATCACAGAGTACCACTGTTCTCTGTATCAGATAGGAATGCATTTGGCTGCAAGCAACAGATTACCCAATGGAAGTAGTTTCATCAATAAAGACATTTATTACCTCCTATCACGGAAGATCTGGAAATTGGCATTTCCAGGGTTAGTACAACATTGCAGAATCATTATCCAAGACCAAGACTTTTTCCCCTCTGCTCTGTCATTCTGTGCATGCTCACTTTTTGATTTAGGACCATTGCCTTATGGTCACAAGGTGGCTGGCAGAGCTCCATGCATGATGTTGTCACACAACTACATTCAAGGTAGGAAAAGGGAAAGTGTGTCTCCTCTTGTGTGTGTCACCCCTAGCAAAAAAGAAAACCTTTTTCAAGAATCCCCATCACATTTTCCCTGTATCATTTTGGCCATATCTGTGTCATATGGTGATTCTTAGCTGCAAGGAAGGCTGGTTACATGAGTATTGGGGCATAGAAGGGAAGGAAGTTGGAACGGCTGTAAAATGCATAATCAATAGTCTGACGCATTCTTTGGAGCACTTATCAAAGTAATAATTAAAGAAGTAAATAGGTATATTTTGTTCATTGTCTCCTCAGTGATATTATAAACTCTTTGAAAATAGGCGATATGTCTGTTTTATAAGCCCAGCATCAGCACCGTGCCTGGCCTCAATAGGAAATCGGTTACTGTTGGTTGAATGAATGAATAAATGAATGTGAAAGAGAACAACAGAGGCAGAAAATAGATACAAAAGAAACAGAAAACTGCCTAGAAGAAACTTAAGTCTATTGTCATATCTCATGTCTCATGGTTTAACTCTTTATTCCAGTTAATTTGAAAACAGTCTTTCACCAAAAAAAAAAAAGAAGAAGAAAAGGCAAATTTTGAAAGTACTCAATTCTTTGCACAATGAATGCAATTTTCTAACCTCTTAATTTTTGCCCAGTGAGTACACATGAGTATTGTTATTATAGAGATCCAGAAATAAATTCTTTTTTAAAAAAATACAATTTTAATCCCTGTTATAGAGTTAGATGATGCAGAAAATTTTAAATTGCTTCGACTACATACATATAAATCAACTTTTGACTCAATCACTCAAATATCATTCAACAGCAAAAATGTATAAAAAATAGAAAATTATTTAAAAGAGCAGTCATACAATTTTGGGCCTAAATTTTCCACTCCTGAGAACATCACACCAACAGATAAGGATATCACTCAAACTGGCTGATTAGAGAGAAAGAAGATATAAAATGCCTGGCACGTAAAGGGTGCTTGACATATATTTTTCCTTATACCTAGACCAAAAGAAAACCTAGGTGTACTCCTAACTTTGCCGTGTGTTAAATGTGTAACTCTGGGTAAGCTGAGTATGTTTTATGGTTCACAAATAATATAGTAATCTCAAACTACCTTTCAGTCATAACATGTAGTCACTCTACAATTTAAAACCTTAAATGAAAAAAAAAGTTAAATGGCATTGAATATAGGCAATAGTAGCCAGCCTAATAAGACATGAAGGAATAGACTAATATTCCCGAGAGTGTCGCTATCTACGGATGCTGAATCTGTTCATAGTTTCAGATAAACACCTTGTTTGGCCACCTTAAAACACAAAGGGCATTGATATACAAATAACACAAAATTTTTTTTAAGAGAGTTGTAACTATCTACATATGTAAGACTAGGTTTCAAGTTTTAAATATGGTTTTCATTTGAAATAAAATTCCTTAAAAAGAGAAAATGACTTTAGCATTGGCAAAGGGAGTCCCCTAAGAAAAAATTGCAAACAGATGGCTGAGAAAGATCACCCACATGCTGCACACAGATCTTGAGGAGGCATTTCTAAGAATGAAGTGGCACTTCCCAGCCTGGGCCACGTCCCACAAGGATCCTTATTTAACCTACAGAAAACACAGAGTTTATACCTCCAACCAAGAGGAACCTCAGCGATTCCTTTCCCACTTGCCTCACAGCAATCCAGACTAATTTCCAACTCTCTCCAACATTCCAAAAGAAGTGAAGTACCAACCACTTGAGACAATCCTCCAATAAATCAGTGTTCCATGATCAACCCTGAATTAACATCTTCCCATATAAATGGGCTGTTAAGCCCCAGCTAAGCATATTAAGCATTCAATTTAATGTATGACACACATCTGTTCCACTTTCTCAGCAAGCAGAAGTTTCAAGATAACTTAAATCCTAGACTTAATCAAGAAGAAAAAAAAATCTTGGCAGTGTTTAAAACTGAATTTTAAGATATAATCCAAATGAGGGTGAGCGAGACCATTTTGCTGTAACTCATGAGATTATATAATACCTAAATCAAATCCACACAATTACCTGAGCAGAAACCCTAGTTCTTTTATCTGAGTTTGTTTATCTTTCCTTCCGATACCATCAACATTTACTAAAACCTTTATCTATGTCTGCTCCAAGGCACCAAAACATAAGCAAAAAATCCTCTGCAAACACCTGTAATTTAACCCATCTCGATGCCCAAAGGTCATAGAGAAAAACTCACAGATTTGTCCTTTACAAGGAGAGCACAGCACTGAATTCCAGCCATTAGCATCTTATGGGGGTTCCAGGCCACGGAGTCAGCTCTGTTATGTAAAACGAAGAAAAAGACAGGGTCGGGAGAGGACACAATTAGTTTCTACTGGAGAAAATACTATCATTAGCAACATACACATTCAGTATTCACACACCCAAGAAAGTGCTGGACAGGATTACTTGTTTGAGTAGTTTAGAGAGTTTGGAAGGGTTTTTTTTCCCCCTTCAAGTAAAACAATTACGTTGTTTCTTTGTTTTCAGAACGTCATATAAGTAGTCAAAGTCCAAAGAGATTCCTTGACCTGTATAACAGGCGCTACATCTGGGAAACTACATTTACCTGTGGATGCCATGCAGAAGCCTGCGGTACTTCCTTGACATCAAGGCTGAGCCGCCCCAAGAAGCCTGTTGAGATATTTATATAACCAAAATAATGTTATTTGTTTATCAGCCAGTTGTCATAGAGACCCCTGAGTGACAACCTCAATCTTAACACTTTAAGTCAATGTTAACCATTGTATATATTCCAGGAAAGTCTGATTATCGGCTCTACTAAGGCAATCAGAGCCTCCTCACAGGAGATGGGCTCCAACTGACCCTTAGGATTTAAATTCACACATCATAAAGGAATTGTTATATTAACCTGTTGAGTTGCATGTGGTCAAAAAGAGGTTTAAAAGACACAGTCCAGATCCTCTTGAATCTTAGAATCTAAAATAGGCGACCTCTTTATAATGCTGAGATTCTACCATACACAAGGTACAAATGCTGATAATGAGATGGGGTAAGGGCCTGGCATTCTGTATAATAAATGTGGCACTTACTCGACAAGGTGAATAGACGGCACCATAGGAACTCATAGACAACTAGCATGAGCTAGGTGCAATGCATCCTGTTATTAAAAATTTAGATCTTTTCAGCCAAGTCACTTTCAGAAATATTTGCAAATTAAAAATGTGTGAGTGAGAGAAAGGAAACCTGAGACTTAAGGAAGTTATTCATTGGAAAGGTAAATAGGAGCGAAGGAGAGGGGAACTGACAATAAGGAGATGAAAGGATACCCCACAGCCAACAACTTTGGAGGGGAGGGAGGAAGAATCACTGTGAGGAATAAGGAAGTCAGTTTGGTCCCTGAAATGAAGCAGACTTCTAAGTTTAATTTTAGGGCAGTGATTGCTGTGAGAAAATATGAGGAGACCAGTTTGGGCTACGTTGGATGCTCTCCAAGGCTGTTTACACCACATAATATTTCATTGGAAATGGAGTTATTATCACTTTTTTTTTTTTTTTAAGAAAAGTTAAGGTTCAGAGGTGGTAGATAAACCACCCAAGGTCTCACAGGTAATAAAACCAGATCTGGGAGCCAAAGCTCATTATTTTTTCAAGATAGCATGATAACTTAGGGAAGGTGACCAGCTGGCCAAATGGTAGAGGGCAGCATGTAGAAAGAAGTGGCAAGATTGTGTGCGCTATGGATGCAGAAGGGGAGAGAAATGAGTATTGCAAAAGCTGAGCCTAATGGTGAACAATAAAGAGTAGCTTTATATCCCACTTAAAATAGCTCTCTTACTCAGGGCTGGAACTATGCTGAGTGAGTCACCTCAGCATACACAATTTAAGGAGGAACTCAACTCTCAGAGCGGGGCTCTTGCGTGACTTAAGAGTGAATGCCTCCTTCATTCTAGCCCAAGGAACCTCACTTTGTGTCACCTTAGTTCCAGCCCTGCTTCCATGGACTAGAGTCTCCAATAATCCTATGGGTTCCCCAAAGTTTGTGAGCTGAAGGTGGCATCTGTGCAAATCCCAAAGATTTCCAATTACAGGATTGATCAGTTGGGGTTGTCAGTCAAGTCCCCTTCCTGCAGCACTCTCTTCCCCAGTGGCATTCACTATGGTCCACGTGTGACTAAGGCCAAGCAACAGAGGCAACTGCCTTCAGCATCTAGAACAACTTTATCCTGGCCTACTAATTAAGGATCCCCATTTCTGGATTTTGAGATGTCGACCTTCACAAACATGAAAATAACTTATGTATTAGGTTCTTTCATTTCCATCACACACCCTAAATACTAAATTGCCTACTTTTCCCAATCCTTGCATCCCCAACTTCTTTGAGAACGAACCAGTGGCAGGTAGGGGAAGGATTAATTAGGACTTGGATACGCCCATTTATTCTTGCTCTTTCCACCTGCCTCACACACTACACTTGCATTTCTTCGTGTCTCGCACTACCCACAGCCTCCTCTTCCTCCCCCAAAGGTAAACAATATTCTCCCAATCCTGTGCACTTGACTGAAGTTTTCAAATCACATGAATTCTTTCAATGCATTAGTTTGCTGGCTTACTGGTTAGTTCACTGATTTACAGAGTGGTTTGGCTGGGTTAGGAGCAGCTCATCCACAAACTAATTCCTCAAAAGAACTGGAAGGAGAAAAGCAACCCACTGTCAACCCATTGTCAATATCCTCCTTCTATGTGCTTAACTTCCTAAATCCAAACTCCAAAACTTGCAAAAACATCAAATGAATCACCTAAATGATGAAAGAGTTTGTTTTCTATTTCAATAAGGACCATCATTTATTGAGTTATTACTATATGTTAGGCACCACACAAGATTTTCCTTACATTTTTTTTCTTTAATTATCTAATAAATAAATAGTAGGACCAATCCTGAAAGGGAAGTGGAGGCAGGGGCAGAATAGAGATCCAGCAGCATGTGAAGCTCATGACTTTAGATAAAATGTTTACTACCCCCTGGGACTATGAATGAAGTGGGGGTGAACGTCTTTAGGAAGCTTTGCTGGGTTGGTGAGGCTTTATAGCAGCCACAGACTCTGCTTCAGAGAAGAGCTGGACTAGCCCTGATATCTGATCTGAGGCACAGGCTGGAATAATATTTGCTCTCATGGAGGAAGAATAGCACTAGAAGCAAAAAATTCCAACAAAACTGAAGTTTTTCTCATTCAGTTGTTTAAAATGCATTGCAATTAACCAAATTTAAGACACTGTCAAATGTTAAGAGTCACTATATTTTTGTTTACCACTAAGAAAGAAAAAAATGACATCAACATACCAATTTCAGACATGTTAAAAATGTTTAATAAATTACGGTATATACGCAAGGTGATCTGGTTTTTTTGGAAAACCCAGAAGAATAAGAAATCATAATTAAATTTTTTTAAAGAAATAAATATCAGTTTTAAATATATTAAAGGATCTTTTAATTATTCTTTAGGAAGTTAACAACAGGGCAAAGTAATTATTGCAATTTTATTAATTTTTTATCTTTAAAATTAAGAAACTATGCATGGTATAAAAGGTTTCTTCAAGAAAAGCTACATGCTTCTGTATAAAATTTTATCAACAGATTTGATACCTGCAATATTAAAGGATGGTGAACACTGTCTCTGTTAGAGCTAATTTCTTTAATAGGTCAGATAAGCTGTTGTCTAATATTATAGGCATTCACTAGATGCTTACTATGTGTAAATAGAATAATTTGTGTGGCTTAGATATTTCATTATAGAAGTGTTGCCTTAAAAAATTCAACCTTTAATTTTAGAAAACCTAAAGAGGTTTTTATTCATATATATAAATCACAATTCTAAGCCCCATAAATCTCTTAATATCATTTCCAATTTAGAAACTGCTGTAGTTACTGTTTTATGTAAACTATATAACCATATTTGATGTTTCTTTTATGAAAGTAGAATTTTTAAGCATAAATGCTGATGTATTTTATTTTTTCCCCTTATTTCCTCAGTTACAGAAGTACTCATCTTATATTATCTTTTAAGACATAATGTATTATTATGCTTCTAAGTCAATAAAAATCAATAAGATATAAGTCAAAATGTAAACAGATACAAATATTACAATGCCATTTAAAGATGTCACAAATCATCTACCTGAAGTATTGCTGTTGTTATATAATAGAGCCTATAATATAAATTCTAGTGAGTTTATATTACTGCTGCTTCTACCATACATTAGCATACATTTAAGAGAGCTTTGAGTTGCTGAAAAATTCTCTACACATCATATCATAGACACTTTACTTTGAAAGCGTGAAATCATACAAATTGTAAAGTTATGTGTAGGTATACCCTCCAAATGCTCAGTTACCTTCCATTCAGTAAGCTAAAATTATAGCCCTTTCTTTTTTTTCCAAGGAGGCTAATGAACCATTCACTTACCGGAGGGAAGTTCTCTAACGTCTCATCAGCATGTTCAACAGCCCTTCTACTGGGGTGAATTAAACTAATTAACTCTTAGTTTTTTTAAAAAAAATGTTCAACATTTTGTTCAGCATTGATAACTGGCTGAACTCAACTTTTTAACGTTAGATAAATAGACCGTTAAGAGTTAACTTTAATTAAGGAAAAATTTATTATGAACAACCCCAAGACTTACAAAATTAATTAGGAAAAAAAGCCAATCCTTTAAGTTAGATAATTATGAAAAATATAAGTTATCTCAATCCCTCCCAAATAATTAACTATAATAAATCTAGGTAAAACCTGCTTTAATTAGGGCATGAAATTTTGCAGTGCAGCTTTTCACATTTTCTGGCTGATTGGAATCACATAATTTTAAAGCTAGAGGATACTTTACAGACCACATCAGACATTTCCCTTTTTACAAATGAGGACACTGAAGCCAAGAGGACTGAGATCACAATAAAGAAGAGGCCAACAGAATTCTAAAATCAGTCTTTTGACTCTATAATCCAAAATGTGTCCCTTATACGAACAAGGCTGCCTCAATGACAGATTCAAGGGATCAAAGAAAAATGATTCATGGGAGAAGAGGAAATAAAATCGAATCCAGAAAACTAAAACAAAATTTACATCAAGTCTTAGAATCATTTTCTTTGTACCTTACACAAAATGACATATTTACTTCCCCTAATTAGAAATACACATTTAAATAAAAAGTAGCTGGGGATTTCACATCTTTTCTTTCTGAGAAGAAAAACTTCCCACCAAAGCTGCAAAAAGACTAGGAAGTTAAACAGGTATGTGCATACAGATGAACTTACATCCACATGAAGCCAAAGGCCATGCCTCTCACAGACGTCTGCTATTTCATCCAGAGGATCAAACGCCCCCAATACAGTTGTACCTGAGGTGGCACAGACAAGAAATGGTGCTGCTCCCTGTGAGAAAGACCCACACATAAGAATTGTCACCGTCACCTCTAAATTTGTCCTGTAATAGGTTGGAAAACGTAAAGGTTATATATATCCACAAATCCATTTCTTTGGAGATAATCATTAATTCAGTGAATATTTTTAAACTTCTCCATTATATAGCCTCTTCTTATAAAGAGGCTAAGGAAACTGAGAAAATGCTGTGACAATACTAGTCCTTTGTCCCGATTTGGTATGATCCTATTTTTATTCTCTCTTTCTGTAGTATTTTCTGTCCTTAGATTTCCCAGATAGAAAGTGAATAGCCTCATCCACACTGGCAAACTGGCATTCAGTATGATTTCTAACTCCTTCTTGGGGAGATTCATCAGGACCTCCTAGTGCCAGCGTGGTTACTCTTCTCCAAAACAAAAATGCATGCGTTTGGAAGACAAACAATCAGCTCCAGGGACAAATCACACAGGCCTAACTGCTTGTTCCCTTGTGAAGTAAGTCCAGTTATAAAACGAAAAATGTGCTCAGGTACAAATCTGGTATCAGAGGGATGAGGTAACCTCAATGGGATACTCTCTCCAAAACAGGTGCCGCAACAGAGAAATCTGTTAGAATGTGCTAGAAGGGAGAATCTGTGTCACTCCTGCCAAAATTTTTTCTCTTCGTATAGCTGATGGTCGAATCTTGTAGAGTGAACGGGTGCCAGCGGGAAATGGAGAGAAAAGGAAGAATGTGCGAACATTTGAAGAGGTAAATGATAATTCCATCCAAGCTAGCCAGCAACGTGGCCCCAAAAGGGACTTCATGGCAACCAGGTAGAGGAGAGTCCATGAGGTTGCACGGACCCATCCTAGCATGTAAGCAGAGATGTGTTGCTGGCTGAGGAAATGCCTTGGAGGGAAAATTTTCAGACAAAGGTTGGAGAGGGGGAAGCAACAAGAAACCTAAGATTCTAGAGCACCCGAGGAATAAGGGACAAGAACATTTACTGCCTATCAAATTCATTTTTATCTCCATTTAGGATAGAGTCATTTTTTCCTCATTTTTATCCTGAGGTGCAGTTCTTGCAAAATATGGTGATATCCCCCTTTTTAAAATTTGCTCTTCTTTATTTTTTAAAAATTTATTGATTTAGTTTCAAGTATACAGTACATTGGTTAGACATCTATATAGTTCATAAAACAATCTCCCCAGTTGCTCCCTCCCTCCCCTGGCCCTCCACCTAGCCATTATATTAATGCTGACTGCATTCCCTCTGCTGTGCTTCCCATCCCCGTGACCAACTATCAACTACTAATTTGTACTTCTTTAATCCTTCACCCCATTCTCCCAGCCCTCCACCCCCCTCTCCTCTGTCCGTCACCAAATTGTCCACTATATTTGTGAGTCTGTTTTTGATTGGTTCTTTTTGTTTCTTAGATTCCACATGTAAATGAAATCATATGATATTTATCTTTCTCTGTCTGACTTATTTCACTCAGCAAAGTAACCTCTAGGTCCATCCATGTCATTGCAAATGGTAGGATTTCATTTTTTTAATGGCTGAGTAATATTCCATTGTATATATGAATTTCTTTATCCAATCGTCTGTTGATGGGCATTTATATTGCTTCCATATCTCGGCTATTGTAAATTGTGCTGCAGCGAACATAGGGGTGCACAGATCTTTACGAATTACTGTTTTGCTTTTCTTTGGGTAAATACTCAGAAGTGCAATTGCTGGGTCAAAAGGTATATCCATTTTTAACTTTTTTGAGAAATTTCCATACTGTTTTCCACAGCGGCTGTATGGTTATGTCCCCTTTTAATATCAGGGGTCGTTTCACTTGAACCAGACTTGCTCCAATTTACCTGACCACTGGCAGAAACATTATTTCTCAATGAGACAGAGACAGAGCAAGGCCACTTGGTCCACATCTCAAAACTGAGATGCACATGAATCAAAGTGATAGTACACAATGAATTTATTTTCCATTTGGGAAGATAGTTGTAACACACAGAATCTAGTCCTAGATGTAAGGTGTCTTTAACAGTTGAGCTTTCCTCATAAACTATATGACATCCTGACAGTTGTGAGAATATATATATTATAATATGCAAGCTATTATAGCTTATTAATGACTTTTCCTCACCTTTTTAACAATCTAGCTATAAATATCAGACCCAGAAATTAAACTTTTGCAATCTGGAGTTAACCTTCCAGATATTTTTTTCCTTTTCACATATCTCATGTGATTAATGAGAAAATTCAGTGGAAACCGTATTGATGGCATGCTGCCAATGAGCTGTATTCTCTAAGAAAGTTTATTTCAAACAGTTACACACAAAAATACTTTCAAATATTCAGTGGTTATACTAGTTATATCTTTTCATAAGCACTTTAGAGCTTCTGAGGCCTCTGTGGTTTTCACCATCTTTGTAACGGCATCAAGTAAAGGTCACTGCTCAACAGATTTTTAATGGATTGCGGTTGGCCAGGGAATGAATCCCAGCAGAAAAAAAAAAAAAAAGCTGCTGTACTATTTTCTACATCTGAAACAATCCAAGTTAAAAGCATGAAACAAAACAACTAGATCTGAAGCTACTGGGAAAAATAAACTAGTCATCAGCTATATTATTATCTCAGATTGGATGCAAGGTTTGTCCTTAGTGCATCGAAGCTCCAGTTTTAACTAACTTGAAAGAAAACTGAGCAGAAACACTAACCCTCATTCCAATGCCCTACTTTTAAATGTGCCTAAAGCAATTTTGACTTTCTGAAAACTTCTCTTTTCAAGTTCTCAACTTTAGAATACATCAGTTTTATGTACTTTAATTGTTAAAATAAACAAAAATTTACACAATGAAAATAATGGCTGTAATGGAATATAAAACCATCAAATATGCGAGAACACGAGTTCTTAATAATACTAAGACAAGAAAGAAAAGGTTTAGCCCACTCTTCTGAACATTAGTAAATAAGGGGAAAGAAGAAAACACTTATCCTGCTCTGCCTTGTGCAAACTGTTTCCTTAGGGAAACCAAATGGGGATGAGAACATTTTTCGTTATAGTAGTATGCCTGCCAATAAATGAAGGAGGAATGAGAGAATAAACTAGAACGTCACCTAATGTAATAGTGGGTCTAGATAATGATCACCAATGGCAGCCAAATCCATGAGGTGAGAGGCTGATGCAGAGCTCTGTGACAATAGACTGACAATACCAGAACCCACCAGTCGGTGTTGCCACAGAGACAGGAGACGTCTCCTGATGGAAGGACAAAATTTATCCATGAATCCTTCCTGTTAAAAATTCCAATCTGAATCTCGTCTAGTCTCAAGATCTAACTGCCAAGTTATAGGAAATAAAGAGAACAGATGGGCAGTACAGAGAAAGGAGGGGGGTTATATTTTCAAATTCTTGATGTAATCTACAAAATTCTTAATTTGGAAAACTACCAGGGCAATGGACTTGGTTTCCTCAACAGATCAATGGCAGGAGTTAAAAAAATAAAATAAAATAAAAAAATAAAAATAAATAAAAAGGGGGAAGCTATAGACAAGAAAAACTTTATGTGATGAATCAACCAAATGCAACATAGAGACAGACCTTGGATAAACACTTATTCAAACAAAGCCAACTATTTTTTTAAAAAGTAACGGGAGAAATTTTAATGTAGAGTGGATACTTGATAATATTAAGAAATTATTATTTCTTATAATGGTATTGCTTTAAAAATACATAATTTTTACAGATATATTGAGCTGTTTAAAGATTAAATGATATGATGTGTGGGATTTGCCTCAAACTAATCTTGTGGTGGTGGAAAAAAGATAAGGTGTAGGTGCAACAGAATGAAACATAAGCTAATGACTGTTAAAATTGAATGAAGTGTACATAAATGCTCATTATATTAGCTTTGGATGTATTTCGAATTTTCCATAATGAAAAGTTCAAGATTCAAAAAAAAAAAGAGAGAGAGAGAGAGAGAGAGAGAGAGAGAGAAAGAGCGAGAGCGAGTGAGAGAAGGAAGGAAGGAAGGAAGGAAGGAAGGGGGGCGGAAATGAACGAATCATATGAACCATACAAAAGCAACTTCTGTAGAAAAAGATAAAACTAGATTTAAAAAAGATAAAACTAGAATTCGATATCTGTTGTTCACAGCAGAACAAAAAGGCTGTAATTAGAAAGTTACCGGAATCAGAGAAATCTGATAATCTATACAAGACAACTATCAAATCCACTTGTCATTGGAACGTTTAAAAAAAAAATAAAGACAAATGTAGATCAAAGGACACACCTGAGGTCAAAACATTTGCAATTAAGGCAAAAAATTTAAGTACAGACTTTTAAACCAAATACAATAATCTGCATACTCTGGATAAGGTGATTTTTATAAAAGTTTTTAAAATATAAAGAGTGAAGTAACGGAAAGATACTAGCAAAATTTCAACTTAAAAATAAAAAAAAAAAAATCTTTCTTAAGAGTGTGAAATCCTATGAGGAGAGAGATACTCAGATCCCAGCTCGGAAGCTGGGCTTTTTCATTTTTCAGAAATCACATCTGACTTTGTTGCTACCTGTCAGAAAGTTAAGGGAGAACAGTCTCAAGCTCCTTTAGCAACGAAGACTGTGGTGAGATGGGAGGGGGCAATGAAGTAGGTGCACCTAATCCAGCAAGTTTAGGTGCACCTAATCCAGCAGGGTCTAAGAAACAAGATGGCTGGCACCAAGACAAGGACGCATCTAAAAGCAGGTGTCAGGGCCAGTCCTAGCTAGAATATAGCACCAGAGCCATGCCTGGCTTTCCTCACCAACAGACATGTCAGCTTCAGTACATTCTGGCAGCTGAGAGAGAACATTCTGCCAGTGCTGAAATACTAGACCCAGGCTCAGTACAGCACGATGGTTATACATGAGCTTTGGGTGGAAGCAACCTGGGAAGAGAGGTTGATCAAGAGTCAGGAATCACTCTGAATGCAACCAGTCACCATCGGTTTGGCCAGCAGAACTCTCAGTCAGGGGTTCTGTAGGAGAGTGGCTGCAGGGATCCTGCGGGAGAGGCTGGGTTCACCTTTTAAGGCTAATTCTAGGCAAGAATCCTGAATACAGTGATGTCAGTGTTTTAATAGGCTTCAGCCAAATGGGATGAAAACATCTGAGAAACTCCACAGAACATGAAGAGCTAAGCACCTGGAAACGGAGCATCTGTGAGTGAGTTACCCTATTTTAATGCTAACATGCTCTGTCCTCAGTCCTACACCTAGGAATGGGTCTGGCGGCTTGCATTCTCTCCCTGGCATTCTCTCCCTCGCACCCAGACACATGCACAAATTTTCTCTCCCTCTTTCTTCTCTTTTCCCTCTTACCTCTTTTCTGGCTTGCCAGATTTGCCTCTCCAGTTCCTCAGGCATCATTTTACCTCTACAAGACACAGATTTGAGACATTCAGTTACATTTAGTAGTACACAGACATCGGTACTGCTTTTTAAAAAGTATGAATTTCCTTCTCCGCCCACCAGGCTTCCGGATCCTGTCCCTATTACCTTCCATCTGTTTCCACAAAGCAAACATTCTCAGTACCGATCCCAAGAAAGGAGGCTGCCTTCTTCATGGAGTAATGACACTAAATTTAAAAGGACAAGGGGGGAAGAGAGGGACATGAATATGTAGTATGAAAAAATTTATTGCTTATTATCTAAATGAGTGTAAGTCACATGGCCAAGCCCAATCTTTGGAACATTATTGCATAAAAGAAAGAGAAAGTAGTAATTTAATTGAGCTCCTTAGTGGTTGAGAACTGACTTTGGTTGGGGATCAGAGAAACCAGGATTTAAGTCCAAGTTTTCCCAGTTACAGCTATGGAATCTTAAGCAAAAAAATGTGTACTCCCCAAGCCTCAGTTTGCTAATCTATAAAATGAGCATGCCAGTGCCTAGGCCATCTTTGTCACAGAATTAAATGGGTTAAGAGACGTAAAGGGCTTAGCACAGAGCCCTTAGCACACAGCATATGGAACAAACTTGGTCACTAGAGGTTACTGTTTTCAATAACACTGAGTAGAGTTGCTTTTGATGCTACTAATAAGACTTGGTATTAATGGGCAGAGAATCTGGTCCACTTCTAACTTGAAACCCTCTAAAGAGTGAGCAAGACTCTGTCTCAAAAATTGTAATCACAGAACGCAGAAGAATTTCATTATTTTCAAGAACAAACAATAGATTATAAATACTGATCAGACACTTGATGAATCTTGCTTAATACTGAATGTAAGACTAAAATCGGACACACGGGAATGTGGTTAAAATCATAATTACGAAAGTAATAATAATTTATAGACACATTACTTTCTGCAGCCTTGGCATAAATGGGGCTAATGGCCCTGGAATTAGGCCTTGTCTATTTCTTATTGGAAAGAGTATATGCTTTAGATTGTTGGGCCTTTCTTCCCTACTACATAAAGCCTGTAAAATCATTAACATTCAAACACTGGAGATGTCAGTCTTTATACATTAGTGTGGACAGGTGGTCAATTAATTCTTTTTCATGCCAGAAAAATGAAGGTGCTAAAGGACATAATTGTACCAAAAAACTTAGTAATTTAATTTGTAGGTATGAATACATTAAAAGAGTAGTCATGCCTTCACACTTAACTTGATATATTCCCTCAAATGTGGTAATTTTTTCTTCTTTTGTCAAGAGAGTTTTATTGGAAGCTCTTTTTTTTTTTTTTAACTCTGTAAAAATAAATGCAGAAGTAACACCATCAGGAAAAATAAAACCGTCCTAGATAATTAATTTCCAAATATCAAATAGGACATGTTCAAAATGCCTGAAGGATGCATTCATTTCGGGTTGTTGCAAAACATATGCATACTAGGAGTGATAATGTACACGAAAATGTAGTTAATTCTCTACTTGCTACTTCAGCCTGCTATAGCTAAGGTGACATAGCTAAGGCCAGTTATTTCCCAACAAAGATTTGGGCCCTGGCAACCAAACAGTTATCGATTTCATAGTGATAAACAGTAGCCTACTGACATCTGCCAATAAGGAAAAGCACATTGCTTTGCCCTGGGAAACAGCAAAATATCCCCAAACAACAGATCTGTTCAATAAAACACTGGTAATCAGAATAAGGATAGTTTCAGCGGAGCTATCTTTGGGTGCCTCAGGGCAAAGTATAGTCCAATATCAATCTCAAGTGCATAGGAGGCAGATTAAAAACAGACTGTAAAACTGAAGTCTAAACATCTGAAAGCATCAGAGGAGGAAAAGAGCCTGGAAGGGAAAAAAAGAGAAAGCAATGCTTCAGACACACTGAGTAGTTTCAAGAAAAATCCTAGATGGATGAAGTTCAGAAGTAACAGCTGCATTTAGAAACAAACAGTGGCTGCTCCCATTGCTGGCAGAAGATAAGTCAGCCATTCTAAGACCCAATCTCCCCCTAGGTTTCATTTGTCTGCAAGAGACACAACAATCTCAATGGGTGTTCATGTCTATAAAGATAAAACAGGAAGTGCCTACATGAAAGACAGAATTGCACTGAAGTTCTCCTTTCTGGTTCCAGAAAGGATTATTTCTGTGACCTTAAATTTCTCAACGAACCACTGCTTTCCCCTCCCATAGACTGTGTTCTGGACACTTGGACTCCTTCTAGTGATGACCAGTTTGACATTCACATTGACTCTGGGTGGTAGGGAGAGCAAGGTTTGTGAATGTTATATGTTAGAGAATGAAGAAAAGGCATTTACAGGGACTTCTCCAAGAACACAGAGCTGGTTCAGTTTCTAAAGAAGCAGAGCTGAAGTCCAGGTGGACTGTTCCATGCCCTCTGTGGCATCCTAAGAGCACCCACTGGCCTGTGGAGATGCCTGCAACAGCAGCCAAGTCCGGGTCAGTCTTGCCTAGAGAGCAAGGCCAGGAATAGGGTGAGCGAATGAGGCACTTCAGGTACAAAATTTAAGGAGGCATTACCTGAAGACATGTACCTTGGACATCTCATTCGCCTCACCCTAGCCTCCGTCTGCTGGAGAAGAACCAGGACAACTGATCGCTGGCCTGGGAACAAAAAGAGTTTCTTTTCTCCCCTCATTCTTTAGTGGCAGACAATGATCACTACTTTATACTGGTTCCCCAAATGATCTGAATTACAAACCGAGGATTTCTATAAATTCATGGGAGTCATCTTAACTTCTAATTAAGGCACACATTTATTGACTTTTATTACTTTTTGAAAAAATCCCCTTCTTTTTGGTTCCTATTTAGCCTTGAGGGGCTACCTTGGATAAGCTGACAGTATAAGGATCTCTGTCATGACTTTTCAGGTCTCCACCTAGTCGAAACCCAAAATATGCAAAAACACATTCAGTGGTGGGTACATGAACCTGGTTAATGTGGGGCAGCATAAGAAGTGAAAAAGTAAAACCACCTAATAGACGATATGGGAAAATAACCACAAGGCCACAGGCAAACATCTAAAACAAAAGGAGGGAGGGATAGCAAAAAGATTAACGTTCAGGTTTAAGACCATTTGAGAAACAACCTTATTTAATTCTTTGTTTTTAACTAAATAATAATAATTAGTTAGTTATTATTAAAAGGTTATTTAGTGGTGAAGGTGGTCATAAAGTCTGAATTAAAATAACGCAAATGCTATGACCTGATTCTCTTTGGCAAAGCAGGGAAAGAAATGAGCTGTAAAGTGGAATCTGGTTGGGGGTAGAGGTTGAAAATATATAGTCGAGATTACAGTGTGTTCAAAGTTATGGAATTTTTCTGTGGAATTCATATTTTTATGTAAAATTCATTTGTGTAATCCCTAGCCCCAGCATGATGGTGTTAGGTTCAGATTAGGTCGTGAGGGTCAGACTCTCATGGGATTAGTGCCCTTAGAAAAGAGGAAGACAGAGAGCTCTCACTCCGCTCGCAAGCACGAACAGAGGAAAGGCCGGGTGAGGACACAGTGGTCTACAACCAGAAAGTGGGCTCCCGCCAGACACTGAATTCATCAGCACCTTGATCTTGGACTTGCCAGCCTCCAGAACTGTGAGAAATAAATATTTGTTTTTTTAGCTACCCTATCTATGATAGTTTGTTACAGCAGCCCGAGCAAACTAAAATGCGCATCTAGTCTTGGTTTTCTGGCTCCATCTTCTGCTGGCATGTTAGCCAAGACATACGTTTTACCTCTTTTTGCATATATATCTCATCAGAGATTCAAAAAAAAAATTTAGTTTTGGTTTCACAACCATGTAAGTGTTCAATTTCTTTCCAATCCCAATTTGCCAGCTACACCTGTGCTACTGATCTTCCTCAGGCATTTCTTTATTCTAGGCTTTCACAGAATCTTCCCCCTTTCCAGGGCAATTATTCCAGGAAAGAACTCTAGCAAGTTTTAAGTCAAATAAAGAAGGGAAAAGGCAAAAGTAAAAGCGCCGGGCTGATAGCAGAGGCCTTATTCAATCATATTCAGCTTTCCTAGGCATGGAACTAGGAATTCAAATGCAAGAGGGGCTTTGCATTTATGATATGCCTGGGTTCCCCAAACTGAAATACCGAGGGTCGGAACCTAGAGAGGAAAACTCTACTCCATAAAATTCAAATCACCAAGTATTTTTCCCAGATCTCCACATTCCTATTCTTCTCTTGCTGCAGAAAGAATGCCTCATGAAGAAGGGCCTTGGGGTGGCTGGGCGAAGAATCTCAGACTAGATGAGTCTCGCAGGTGCCTCCCAACACCCAATGCCCACTTTGCATTTAGTGCTGAACTGACCAGAGCAAAGGTCAGACAGGACAGGAGGAAAACATGGGAGTCTCCAGGTTTTCTTCCACTGCTGACCTCTTGGTGTACAATTTGTCCTTTCATGATAATGAAGTGACTTTTTCTTCTTGAAAGAAAATAACAAATACAGGAAAGTCCAGCTGGAAATAACAGAGAATTTTCATATTTTCCCTGCCTCATATGTTTGACAGGAGACGTAGGGTTGTTTCAGAAGGCGCAGAAGCTAAACTCTTCCGGCCAGGAATATGGGGCAGAAACAGTTGTGGAATGGAGAGAGGCACTCACTGGAATCACACAAAAATAGAAAAAGAAAAAAAAAATCTCTTCCTAACGAGACGGCACGTTAACTGCAGCATCTATTCTATCATTATAGCTGGATCATTCTCCTCCTAATAATAGTAATAGCTAACATTTTTGTCTATGTATCATGTGCCAGATGTGACTTTACATGCATTAACTCATTCAGTCTTTGCAACAACCCACTAACCAGTAACTACTAAGCTTATGTGGCTGCTGGGTTGCATTAACAGCCCCAAATTGTTTACTGGTCCCTGTGTCTATACCCTTTGGCGGACGGCTTTGCAGCAAATCTCCTTAACAGATAGAATGTTTTCCTGCTTCTTGGATCTGGGTTCCTAGATGTGACTTAGTTTGCCAAGAAAATGAGGTAGAAATGACGATGTACGAGTTCTGAGCCTAGGACTCAAAGAATCCTGGCATGTTTCCATGCTGTTTTTTCCTCTGCATCACTGACACAACAGCACACCTGCACTAACTTGCTGGAGGGTGAGAGACAATGGCGCTGAGAGCACTCGCTGGAGTCATCCCAGCGAAGCCGCTCTCAGATCAGCCATTGGCCAGCCAAGCCCTAGACAGGTAAGGGAGCACAGCGAGAGCAGCAGAACTGCCAGCTACCCCAAGACTTGTAAGCAATGATATATAGTTATAGTTCTATGCCACTGGATTTGAGGATAATTTGTTAGATACCAGAGTTGATATGCTCATTTTTATAAATTAGGAAACTAAGGCACAGAGGAGTAAATCACCTTACCCCAAGTCACTCAGATAGTAAGTAATAAAAATGAAATAAATCTAGATAGCCTATTTCAAAATCAATGCACCTATTCACCATCAGACCTTCTACTTTAATGGATAGAGGATTGTGGCAATATTCAATTGTGTGTATGTGTATATGTTCACTATTAGTGAATATCTCCCTTTCTTCTTGAAAAGGCCTTGGGTTAGCCATTCAAAGCAATCAATTTTATAAGAAAATGTGAGTAGAAGACGTAGCCGAGATCAGTATCAATCATCTAAATTCTAATAAATGAGATACTCAAAGAAGAGATTCACAGAAAGAGACAGCACTTTCGAATTAAATCTTCTCTTTTCCTAAAGAAAATGTTATAGACTATAAATTTTACATAAAGGTGATGTACAAAATTGGGTGGCCAATATCAAACCCATCAGAATTTCTTTTAGAATGAAATACGATGTTATATTTAGGCATATTAGTCACATACGGAGTGGATAAAAGCATATCAGGAGTCCACAAACAAACAAGCCCTCTTAAATAATGCATTCTTAGAAAATCTATATCGGACATCAAAAATAATTTTTTACCTCTGCAGATGTGAAAAGGATTAATCTTGGCAACCCAGAGAGTCCCTTTTCCTTAATGTCAGGACAATATTTGTATCTAGCTAAATTCATGGCATACATATTGGACACTGAACCACCTGCAAAAACAAAATTGAAATGACATATTTATAGCATGAAGTTCTAGCTCCCTAAGTGCTGACTCCAGTGGAAAGCATAAATGGCTGTGTCTGCTCTAATGACAAATCACTGTGAAAGTCATCTGAGCACCACACCCCCACCCTATTACTCTTACACACTTCCTAGTTTCCAATTCCAGCAATTTCCAGTCTCAGCAAAGTGAGAAGTTTTGGTCTATTCTCTTATTCCGGTTTTTCCAAATTAAAAGTTTCTATCTATGAGCTCTACACCCAGGTACCCACAGTCAATAGTATTCTTTCTGTCTGTCAACTGATCAATAAAATGACAGTATATGTTCATCTTTGCTCCCGAAAAGGACTGGAAGATAACAAAATGTGATTTAGGAACTTTCTCAAGTAAAACTGATTTAAAACCTTAAAAATTTTTTGTAGCTCTTCCAAATTCCCAATAGCAGATAAATTTATCTGTGTTAGGTACAAATTCTCATTTATTTAGCATTTATGTCATTTATTTATGCAAAAAAATTTATGCAAAAAAATTATGCAAAAAAATTATCACTCTGGAGAAAGGCACAAGCTAGAGTCTCCCCACGTAGCATTATTTTTTTTTTAGTTATAGGAGAGAAGTAGTATTACTAATATCCAACTTTTTGTAATGTGTAAATCTGAAAAGAGTTGTTCCTCATATAACATATTAATACATTTGTAGATGCTTGTAATAGAAGGGAGATGGCAATAACTAATTGTACATACCTGGGTTAAATATTCCATCCCCTTCTTTCCAGCCAATAAATTCAATCATTTTCTTCAGAACCGCTTCTTCCACTAATAGAAACACTGGGGACACCTCATACGTATAACTAGATAGATATAAAAAACACTTCACTTCTATGACTAGAGTCAAACCATCCCTTTGGTGTCCCAAGAAATGCACATAAGGTTTTATTAAACCAAGAGGCTGCTGAAGTGTAGTACAGTCTTTGGAAATGTATCCATTGGCAATAGAGAAATACACAGTCAGTGATAGTGCTAGTTGTGGTTAGATAAATGCCAGTAGTTAGTGGCCTTAGGGATATGCAAGCTACTGGAACAGGCTCAATTTACAGAAAAGCTTCAATTCCATGGGGAGAGATAAAGGTAGAGCATCTGGATCTTTGTATTAGCCATGAACAGTGGCCAATTTATCCTGTGAATGCTGCTTTGGATGTGAGCTAAAGAAAAAAACATTGTCATGGTAACCAGGTTTTATTAGGTTACTACTGTGGGTAACCTAACAGAGAGCATCTACTTGGACACTACTCATCCTGAATTATAGCTTCCTCCACCACACACCTGAGTTTGTACAAATGGGAAGTGCTCTGAGGGTCATCTGTTATTATGGGATGATTTCACTGCAAAGCACTACCCAGATCCCCTGCCGATGAAGGATTTGTTGCTCCAGCTGGAAGGTTGTTGTCAAGGCATTACTATGTTAGCTCCTTTAGAAATTGCCCCAGCTGCAAGGAGCCACCTTTCCTAAGGTCACAGTCTTTTCTGTGGTAGTCCACACCTGATGACTGGTCCAGCTGGAGGTATAAAGGCCTGGCCATGAGGGCCCGACTCCAGATGAAGATAAAGGGCCACTGCAGCTCCAGATGGGTCAGCCGAGATTGTCATTGAGCCAGCATAGCAGCCTGGCAACTATCTCTGCTTCTTTCCACTTCTGCTTCTTTCCCCTCCCAACACCCATGATGATCCCAAGGGTATTCCTTAATAAACATCTTCCTCACTAAATTCCATCTAGAGCAGCTTCCCATGGAACCCAAACTAGGACAGTTACCGTGCCCAGTTTTGTCATGTTTGAGTCTCTTCATAACTTGAGGGCGACTAAATATATATAACCTCCTTCTCTAACAATTAGGTGCTTACATTAAATTGTATCTGAATATATATGTATTCTAATATGTAAGCTAAGCAGATACATTTAGAGGTACAGTAACAGAATTTAATGTGATTATGTTTAACATCTGGAAGGGAAACTTTGGGATGGAAGAAAAAAAAACCCTACTATGTATCACCCTCCCATGTGGCAAGCACTCTACAGACATTATGACATTTTCAATCATTCTTGGAAACCAGTTTACATGTATCAAAAATGTGGGGAAAAAAGTATATGTGTGTATGTGCACCTACAAACATAAGCGAAATAATCATTCGCTTTTTTATAAGAAAAAAAAAATAATATTAAACCTGTCTTTGGAAACTAGCTCAACCTTAAACCGAGGAACAGGCTTAGAGGTGGGGGGAGGGCAGTGCAGAATGCCCACAGCTCCGTCACGTTTTGAGTGGATTGTTCAGCTTAGCAGCAGTTTAATACTTCAAAAACTTCTAAAGATTTCAGTTAAAAGAACCCAGATGAGAACTTAAAAAACCCAAGATGTATAAGGAAATGTTCATAAAATTGTGTAATTTTACTGTCTCCTGAGTCATCTACCACTTTAACTCTCCCACCCACTGAAACCTGGTATCATCTCGCATTACTCCATCCCAAGTTCTTTAACTGAAGTCACCAACGACACCCACACTGCAGATCCAGGGGACGTGCTGTAGTCTTTGTCTTAGTTAAATATTCGACGACATGTGACTCTGGACACACTCTCCACCACGGCTTCCATGCTTTCCTGCTTGAACTTCTCTTTCTCTTTCTCTGTTGCAAGCTGATCTTCCTTAATGCCCACTCCTAAGCCCTCGTCTCTCCTCACTCTACACTCTGTCCCTCAGGCAGAGCTTCTCTGTCTCCTGGTTTGTTTTTTATTCTAAGTGTCTCCATCCTTCTCATTAAAATCACTTGTAGGGCTTTGAAAATATGATGCCTGGGACACATCCACAGAAGTTCAGATTTAATTGGTCTGGGTTGGGTCCCATGCCTCAATATTTTTTTTTAAAAAAAGTTCCCAGGTTGCTTCTAATGAGCAGAATGGGTTGAGAATCACTAACTTAAGGAATTTCATCCATGCCCACTATTTTAACTACCGTCATTCACCAATAACTTCTGAATTAATACTCTTCAGAATTTCAGTCCCATATTCTCTCAACTCGGTTGGTATATACTCTTGGATATCTGGAAATTATTGCGAACTCAAATGCTCACACTGAAAACTGAATTCTTCCTTTTGTCTTGTTCATCACGTACTTGAAAACTGGTCTCCTTTTCCAATGCTTCTTATCTCAAAGAACGACGCTACCATCAACTCAGCTATGAAACCCAGAAACCCAAGCATCATCTCGTAAATCTCCTTTGTGTCTTCATTTCCAAGATCTAATATAGTATTCAGTGTTTTCCCTTTTATCTTCTAAATACATTTTTTGGTCTCTATTTCTACCTCTCTCACCTAAGTCCAAGCTACCATAATCCCTCTCCTGACTAAGGTAATATCTTCCTAATTGGTCTCCTCTAATCCTCTTTCCACATTTCCAGTGATCTTTTCAATAAGCGAATGGCACCTAATGATTTAAAAACCTTCAATGGCTTTCCATTGTACTTAGAATAACTCACAAACATGGCCCACAGAGTCCTGCATGTCTGCTTCCTATCTATATCTCCAGTCTTATTCTTTATTATACTCCCGATAGCTCTATCACTGGCTCTTCAGTTCATAGCAAGTGTCATGTTGTCTCCTGCCACAGGGCCTTTGTAGATGCTGTTCCGTCTGTTTAGAACTCATCTTTCCTCTTTTCACCAAGTTACTTTTACTTACCCTTCAGCTCTTAGCTGTAACTTCCTCAGAGAAGATGTCCTAGAGCACCCAACTAGGAAAAGTTGTCCCATTTACATTTATAGTGTCATGCACCTTTCCTTCACATGAAAATTGGAATTTTAGATTAATTTGTGCGGTCATTCTAATTAATTTGCATGGAGCATCTCTCATTAGATATTTTGCTTCATGAAGGCAAAGTCAAGGTTTGTTTTTATTCAACGTATCTCTCCAGCACTTAGCACTCGTGGCTTTTCATGCAGGAATAAATTAAAAGTTGCTTACTCAATTTCCTCATCTGTTGAGTGGAGATAACAATGCCTGCCTTATCCCTCTCACAGTACCACTATCAAATCAAACAACTCTTTGAATACTGCTGTCATAAGACTGTTCCATTACTCAAGACGACACTGCACAAATGAAACCATTAACTAGAAATTCATGAAATAAAATTTCATATACTTAAAAAACATCTCTAATGCATGTTCGGTGTAAAATTACAGTAAAATGGTACTTACACACTTGGGTTTAATGCTTCTGTCATAAATCGGGCCACCAAGGAGTAATAATCAAGTCCAGCATACAACTGGTTGAAAAATCTTGGATGGTCTATAAATTTAAACAGAGTATTTAACTACGCAGCAATAAAAAAGAAAAAAAAACAATAGAGTAATAACATAAATCTTTTAGACGATGAAAGCAGCTGGACACAAGAGAGTATACACTGCATGATCCTACTTATATGACATTCAACATCAGGCAAAGATGATCTATGGAAATAGAGGTTAGAATTCTGGGTACCTTTGGGAAGGAGATATTGATTAGGAAGGGGCTTGCAGAGCCTCTGGAGTGCTGAAAATGGTCTCAATCGCTATCTGGGTGATAGTTACCTACATACACAGATATGTACAAATTCATCACTCTGAGCACTTAAGATTTGTTCATTTTACTGAATGTAAATTATACTTCAATTTAAAAAAAAAAAAAGCTTTCAAAACCTAATCACACACAAAGGAAACAAATTATAGCTCTTTTTACTGAACAATATGTTTCTAAGTAAAACTTGAGTAATCTTTAAGAGTTTTGGTTTACCTTCTTTCTTTCAACAACCCTGACCCAAACCAGAACCCTTAAGAAATGGGTTATTTGAACACTTTGTATATGTATCAAAGCCTGTTACCTTTATTCTCTGAAAATACTGATATTAACTTTACTAAATTTAAACATATTTCACTCACCAACAGGGTTCACTTCATGCTACTGACAGTGACTGGCCTTTTTATTTTTCAGATTGGACCGTTTTTCATAATGTAACTGGCATTATGTAGATGGATTAAGATGTGATTCATCATGCAGCTTACATAAAATTTCTGATTCAACTTTTTTCAACGCAAGTTGCCTTTAAGACTCAAACAATCTCAGTTCCAACTTTTTTTCTTTTTTTCCTCCTATAGAAGACCTCATAAAGGTTCCTGGCTTTACGCGGTGTGAATATTCACACCGAGCGCCAGGCTAACTGGCTTGACATTCTCAATCACAGGAAGCCCAGCGTGACCAGGAACAAAGAGGCAGGAGGTCTATTTCTAACTTTGAATATTTGGGAACCATTTCAGTTAGTGACCTCTCATTACAACTTGCAGCTTTGTTTTCGGTGGTTTCCCTCTCTTAACTAGGAGTTCAATGAAAAACAAAAGTCTCAGCAGAAAATGTCTTTTTAAATAAAACATGGAAAACTTCCTCTAATCTGGCAAAGGAGAGCAGACATTGCTATAAGTAATTTTAAGATTTTTGTTTTAGTTCTGTGTTAATTTATGATTGATTTCATTGGTAATATTATGAAAAATATCCAGTAAACTGAAAAATCTACTGTATTAAATGTCATTCTACATTTCTGACAGGTACTGTAATAATAAAATATGCATCTCTGCTTTTGAAAAGCTAGGCGGGTTTTTGATACATATACCAGACTTCCCCAAGGGAACACAGACTAATTATTTTTAGCCAAGATTTTATTATGTTTCTTCCACTAAATTTAGTTCAGTGTCTGAATTCACAAAGCATAATGCCTGTATGGTCTTAAGCACTAGATTACCTTTGTATTATACCTGGAAATGCATACTTTGGAAAGTATTCTCCTACTTTTGGAATTTGTTCACTGAGTATATAGGATATTAACAATCAGTTAAAATAGTACTTAAAACAAAGCTGATATGTTATTGCATTTACAAAGATCACAGTGGTTAAGCAGGATTATGAAACTATCACAGCAAAAATTTACCATATACAGTATTCATTTTTCTTACACCTTCCTAAAGGTTTTTACTTTTTGATTCTGCTAGATTTGATAAAATAATTTGTTAATTACCAATGGCCAAGACTTCATAAATATCTTTTGAATAAATCTATTCCTATTTATGTTAAAGAGACGCTCTTGAATAATTACTTGCATATTCTGGGCCATCAAGATTTAAAATGCCATACAAATTCTATAATCAAAATATTATTCGCCAGTTTGGATGAACATAAAAAATAAGTAGCAGTCAGAATATGTGGTCTTGATTATAAATGGAGGATGGGGATTGCCAAGGAGTAGATAATATTTATATGTGACCAGTAACAGCAACATTTTTTCTATTAATTTAATTCTGGTTTTTACGACAAATCTGTAATAAAGATTAAAGGAACCACATAAAAATACCAGAACCATTATTTTTTGATTCAGGTTTCTCATCCCATAAACATTGTCACACTCAACTTTACCATGAGGTAAATACATACTGAAGAAAATGTAGACTTGTTAGAGGTACAGGTCAAGGAAGTAAATTAAAGTTCTTACTAGTTTTGACACTGTAGCGGATAACATCCTGGCAAAGTTCCAGCAGCCTGTGGTGGGGCTCTCCTGTGTCTCTCAGCTCCAGATCAAGAAGTTGTTTCAGTTGTTCAGGAGGCCGCCATTCACAAACCTGGAGGTCCAGCAATGGCACAGTTAATTGAGCACCCATGAGAGCCAAGTATTGAAAGAACGTTAGAGGCATAAACCCTACTTACCCTCTTGACACTTCTAGACAAGTGAGAGAGACAGGGATTGAAAGGAGCAACCATGGTTCAGCATGAAAAAAGCTATAACAGAAATGCAGAAGTCCCTGGAACAAGTGAGGGGCCCCGTCTTAGGTTTGGAAGGTCAAAGATTTCCTGGGGGAACTGATATCTAGGTTGTTACATAAAATAAGAATAGAGTGAACCAAGCAAAGATTAGGGGGTGGGGTAATGCAAGGGACATTCTAGGTGGAAATAACAAAGTAGCAAAGGCTGAAATAAGTATAAAGGAGCTCATGGCACATGGGGAGAATGAAGGAAGTTTGGTGTGGCTAAAACATAGAGTGTGAGGAAGGGAGAGGCAGGAAATAAGGCTGGAATACCGAATAACTTCCAACTAGCCTCTCTGCTTGTTCCCTTGCCCCATACAGTCTACTATCAACCTAGCACAGAGGGATCCTCTTAAACCTAAGCCATGGCCATTCCTCTGCTCAAATATCTCCAATGTCCTTCAACGTAAAAGCCAGTCCTTACAATAACCTAAAATGATCTGTATAATCTGCTTTCCTTGGCAATGTTTCCTTCCTAGTCTCATTGAGCACCACTTTCCTCCTGGCTGACTCTGCTCTGCCACTGTGTCTCCATACTGTATCTTAAATATCCCAGGCATGCTTCCCACTTTAAGGTCTTTGCACTAGCTATGCCCTTCGCCTGGAATGCTTTCGTGCCAAATATTTTCATGCCTAACTTCCTCACTTCTTTCCAAGTTCTACTCAAACGGCACTTTCTCAGTTACAGCAATTCTGATTGCCTTATTTAAAATCTCAAGCTGCACATTATCTCTATTACCCTCTCTAACTTTTTCTACTCTTTATTTTTCCAAAGTACTTATGACCTTCCAACATTGCTTATGTCCTATATAATCTCCACGAGAGCAGAGACGTGGTCTGTTTGCCCACTGGTCCCAATAAGGGGATGTTCAATAAAGATATGATGAATGAATAAATAAATGAATGAATGAAGAAATGAACAAGGCTCATATCATGGCAAGCTTTATGTGGCATGTTATAGAGTTTGAACTTGGCACTAAGGAAGTCATTGGAATGTTCTGGACAGAGGAATGGTATGATCATATTTGTGTTTTGGACAATAACTTTAGTTGCTATGTGGAGATTCCAAGTAAAACTGGCAATAAGAAGTTGCCATAATAAATCAGGCAAGAGGAGACGGTAGGCTGGATGAGGGTAAGATACCATAGGAATGAAGTATTTCTAGAGATTTTCAAAATGCAAAATCAATAAAACATAGCAATTGATTTCACAGTGAGGATAAGGGACAGAGATGACCAGCATGACCCTGAGGTCTCTAGCTTGCTTGCATACGTGAATTGATGGCCATGAAGGGAAGAAGTATCCAGTAGTGGGTGGGTTGGGGCTGATGAGTTTTGAGAATATTTAGCTTAAGGCTTCTCAGGACATCCAAAAGGAGTGTAGCAGTTGGTCTAAAGCTCTTGCGAAAGGTCGGGAACAGAGTTTCAGGCATACACTGTGAAAATCTCACAGAGATGGCGTGGCTCAGACTGAACACACACCTAAGGAGAAAAGGTGCAGGATCTCACCTGTGCAACATTATACTTTAGAAATGGATGAAGGGAGAGGAGTTCATGGGTGAGGTGGAGGACACGCCAGAGAGGCAGGCAGAATCCTAGAAGAGTTCAGTGCTATTAAGCAAAGAAAAAAGAATGTTCTAAGAAGAACATCCCTGTCAAATCCTGGTGAGAAGCCAAATTAGATAAAGATTGAGAAGTGCTCATGGGATTTATCAACAAGGAGGTGTTCTTGGCAAGAGCAATTTGACTTAGAGGTGGGAATGGAGGCCAGATTGCCATGAAGTGAGGATGTAGGAGGTGAGGAAATAGAAGGAGGGAAGGAGCGTAGACAATCTTTAAAAAGTTTGGCTGTGGAGGGGAGGAGAGAGACAGGAGAGTAGTCAGGAAGTGAGGAGACGAGGAGGTGGGAGGCCGGGGGAAGTAGGAGGAATACCAAGTTGTCCAAGAAGTATGACATTTAACTCTGACGTTAGGACTACAACAGGCAGAGGTAAATCAACAGTGACCGAAACAATCAAAAAGAATAACTACTGATACACACAACACCACGATGAATCTCAAATACATTTTGCTGAGGGAAAATAGCAAGACTCAAAAGTCTACTTGTGATATGATTCTGTCTATCCGACATTCTGGAAAAGACGAAACTACAGGGACAGAAAACAGTTCAAAGGCTGCTAAGATCTAGAGGTGAAGGGAGGGGTGGGTCTGACTACAGAGGGGCACGGCAACATTTGGGGGGTGATGGAACTGTTCTATATCTTAATTGTGGTGATGGTTACATGACTTCACAAAACTCAGAACGGCAAAAGGAGTAAATTTTACTGAATGTAAATTATAATTTAATTTAAAAGGGGGAGAGTGGGGACTGAGAAAGCATGTCTACCAAAGAGGGCACTAGAGTAATAATCTCACGAAGTGTGGGCGTGGATCTGCAAGTTGCCTTTAAATGGTGCCCTGTTGGATCGCTGACAAAGCAGCCTGAGTTAGTGGCATAAAAACTTCACCCCTCCCTCAATCCCAACATAGCTTTCAATCCAACGTCACATGGATAGCCAGCACATCTACTATATTGTGATTGACTTGTGGTTTCTTAATTGAAAACTTAGGATCATAAGCCCCGCTTCTCACCTGATCTCCCATTGGCTCTCTATAAACACTTCTTTCTAGGCAAAAAGGTCCCCTTACTATGTTAAGTACATCTTGTCCCTTTGCAACTCTCTTTCCATTAGTTACCTTCCTGCTTTCTTTGACACACACAGGCTGATTTCTCTGCCAATCAAAATCTTATTTAACCTTCACATACCACGTCAAAGCTCAAGGTGCCCTCTCCTCTGTGAAATTCCCAAAGTCAACCCTGGTCACAGATCATTTATCACATTCTTACTGGGACTCCCTCTTCTCTTTTTCAATGAAAACTTATCCTTTCAATTAGATTATAAGTTCAGTTCAAAGCTGAGCTTTTATCTTATTTTCCTTTATAACCTCCAGGGCCGAATATAATGCCTTACCCATAGCTAGCACTCAATTAATATTTAATTACTGAATAAAGGCCAATTAAAAAAAAAAATCTTACCAGAGGAACAGTATGCTCCAAAGTTAAGCAGGTACAAAATATTTCACAAGTACAGATAAGATCAGAAAATATGCAATTATAAATATATAATCAGGAAATACCGTCTGTGATTTTCACCTTGAACATAGCTATTCAAAGTTCACAAGTCATTTCAACCTATTTTTCTATTAGTTTTCCCAAATGCATGTGATCAAAAATTCAGAATAAATACCACTTCCCCTTCAAAATGTTTTTTAAAATGACATTTATTTCTGACTAATAGAAGTGGAATAAAAATCTCTCCTATACATCCATTTGTTGATAATCCAATTCCAATAGGAAAGGCGATCAACGTGATAAAGAGTAATTTAGGGATTTTAAGAGACATATAGAGGAGTAGCGCAGACTCTGAAGCCAGACTGCCTGGATTTTAGTGCCAGCTCTGATGCTCACTAGGATGTGATCTTGGGCAAAGTACTTGTCCTCTTTGGGCCTCATTTTTGCCCTCATAACTAAAATAGAGTTAATAAATAGCACCTGGCACATCATAGGTATCCTTAAGAATAGATGTTATTAGTAGTGGCTCCCAGATCATTTTGAATCTGATTTTGAGCCAGAATTTGAAACCTAGGACCAATAATTGGTACCAGTCAGAAGTCACACTTAACAACCCAAGATTTCTAACCTAAGTTCAGACAAGTTCCTGGGATGGACGCTCAGATAAATTTTAAAACTTTTCACACCCTTTTTCTACCTTCTGCTTGGTTTTTATTAGCTACATATAGAATGCGAACCAAAAAATGAAGGGCAAAGTGGGTTTTGGAGAATGTATTAATCACACAGGTTATTTATAGTCTACATTGTTATCTAGGGCAGAAAGCTTCATCCCTGCACTTCATAGCCTCATCTGCATAAGCTCTGGAGTCCCAGTGAATCTTCCAACACATGATGGCTGGCAAGTTAGGAGTCAGCCATTCCAGGAAAGCAGATATGGGAGGGGGCGGGAGGCAGGTGCAAACATTGGTATCTGGGTAGCCCCTTGAAACAAAGGTACAGAGAAAATGAAAGTGTGTGCTTCCCATTTCCTTTACATCTAGCCATCCAGATTAGGGGAGAAAAAAATCTATCTTTTCCATTCCTGTGATTTCTTATTGGTGTTTTTATTTACCTTCTCACTGATATCTGTAGCCTTCGAAACCACTTGTTCCATTATCAGCCTACAGGCCTCTTCAACAAATTTTTCTCCTGCTTTTGCATCTGTTGTGGGACCATTCAGTACGACCCCATCCACGAGAACAGCGCTTCTCTTACTTGGAACCATCTCTTGTTGACCAATATCTCCTGGAATCACACAAACAAATTGTGTTTAATCTAATTACATCACACACATGCACACACATACACAAAAACACAGGGTAAAAAATGGATCACGTCCCAAATTCAAATGGCGTTCTTTCTTTTAATACATTTGCATCATTGAAGCTGACAGTTCCTTATGGTGACCAATAACATGATGGAGTTAAGAGAAAAAAACTTATATTTTCCATTCCTGTATCAACTTGTTTAGGATCAGAGAGTATGGTGGAGATGAAGAAATATAAAGTCAACCCATTTTACTCACTCTTGCAAACACTGTTCAAATAAATGCATGAAGAGACCTTGTAAACACAAGCTCATGTTTATTTCATGAACACACACCTTTTTGTAATTTTTTAAGGATTGCCACATATTTCCTTTTAGTAAGTCATTCCTAAAGAGGAAAAAATAATACTGACATGTCATTTCTCTTCACCTTTTAAGCCTGTACATAAATGGCTTTCTATATTACAGACAGTGATTTGTCCTCCTTAAATTTACTCAGCCATTTCCTTCTGAAAGGAGAATAAAAGAAAGTGAGAGGCACGATGGTTTGTGTAAACCCATGTTTTAATGCCTCTAAACTTTTCAAATTTGTAGTTTAGGCACAGGCAGAAAAATGGGACAGAAAATATTTAGGACTGTACAACTGCCAGTCAGTGACTAAAGGTTAAAAGTCAGCATGGAAATCTATATCTGAGACTAAAGGTTACTGCCTACCCAAAATAGCCCTCCACAAAAATAATTTTGGCAACTTAATCCAGATACTCAACCACTGTCTGCTACAGGCATTGATTCAATTGTATTTCTTTTTCTAATCAGTATTTCTCTCTTCATAATGTTCAAGTTCATTTAGTCGTAGAAATTTACAGGAACGATTTTTAAAAGTATTTTCAGAACCACACCTAGCACAGTACCTTACTTATAATTTGTAAGACTGCCTTAAACATGCTGATGCTCTTTCTATATGTATTTCAAATATTTTTATACTGAGAGCTCTAACAATATTAACATTTATTATGCTGTTGAGTCCTTCTCCAAGTTAAATGTTTTGATGAAAATCTGTGCTTTATAAACCCTTTAATTCTATTACTGGAAAACTCAAATGGTATCCACAAAGGCAGATGAAAATGTCACAGGAAGTTTCCCCAATTGGGGAAAGACAGAATCTGCAGCAAAGGATCAATCTTTTACCCTTAGACTGAAAACGATCCAGAGGTCCAATGTTGAATTTTAGTTCCATCCTTCACTTTCACTTATCTTTCACTTGAAAGGATGTATTTAACATGGTTTAGGGCCAAATGTTGAAGCCCTAGAATTGCACTTTTAGATGGATATGCTCTATAGCTAAAGGCATTTTTCACTCCCCAATTATTAGGTCCTAAAAATAAATTGGAAAAGAGGGCAATTATTCAGGGAACCCTGGTTATGTCGGTAGGCAGCACTATTATTAACCACACAGAAAAAGTTAGGTTTTTTTAACCTCATTAGTAAGATTTCAGGTTTTTATTGCCCAGGGAATACCAGCCACTCTGTATCCCTCTCAGATCAGTGTCTGTCTGTCTCTCTCTCTCTCTCCCTCACTCGAAAAAATGTCACACACCCACTTGCAACCAAAATAGCAGTGAAATTGGAATTAAAATCATCTGTCTCCACAGCAATCAATTGAAGAAATGCCCATAATTCATATAATTGTCTAGAAGAAAATGCCATAAAAATCGGATATAGATTATGCCTCTTTTCTTGATAGACATGTTTTATTTCTATTGCCAGGTGTAATAATGTGCCTCTTCCTTCCTGTGCATTTGCCTAATTTGGAAAAGATCCTCTGGAGATTGTATAGTAGGTCAAGCTGTGGTCTGGGGATGCATGCCCAGGACTTTCGATTTAACTGCTAGAGTTTATAGTAGTTAATAATGAAGTCTTTCAATTGGAAGAATCTTCCATGAAGAATATATCTAGAATCTGACTGCTTTTTATCACACTGTCACCTACAACCATCAAATGCTTAGTACTAGCCACCATCAAATGCTTAGATTAGTATAGTGGCCTCCCAAATAACCCCTAGCCTCTACCCATACCCTGCAAGTCGTGAGGACTATTCTCCACATAGTAGCTCCTGTGTTCCTTCGAAAGATAGTCAGATCACATGACTATTCTGCTCAAACCATCCAATTTTGGACTTTTGGTTATTAAACCAAAAGTCCAAGTCCTTATAATGACCTCTAAGGCCATAAATGAGCCCCTTTCCCCATTATATCTTGGACCTCAAATTTCATCTCTTATTACTATCCTCTAAGCCCACAAGTTCCATCCACTTTGGCCTCTTCACTATTCTTAGACTCTTTCCTTAAACATCAGCTTCTCAGCGAGTTCTTCCTTGACAACCCTGTTTAAAACTGCAGCCACTTCTCTCTCCCACCTTCTTTTTCTGCTTTATTTGGCTCAAGAACAGTGACCATCATATGATATACGATATGCATTTATTCTTTTATTTGTTTAAATATCTGTCCATCTGGTGGACGTTAAACTCTATGAGAACATGAGTTTGTGTCTATTGGTTTTACTTTTGTGGCTACAGCAACCAGAAAGGGTCTGGCTGTCTGTAAGTGTCTGATAAATATTTGTCAGCTATTAAGTTCAAGAAACCAACCAGCCAGTGATAATGTCCTCCTCCTCTGAGACACCACTGCAGATTACCAGACATAACTGAGCAGGAGACACCTTTGGCTAGGGATGGGGCAGACACAGAATGTACTTCAGGGGCTAGAGAAGAGATGGTGGGCACTGAAAGAAGAACCGGGGAAGCAGGGCCTTCCAGGGATACCTGAGTTTATGGTCCCTGGATTACCAAAGGGAACATGGATGAGAGGCTCCACTTTCCTCCCCTCCCCACTCACTTCCTGCTGCCGTTCTCTATGACCTCTCCTTCCCTATTTTACAGTTATTTGACTTCTTAGAGTCAGCCCATCACCAAGTCTCACTCCAGGAACCACAATTTCACATGTGAAAGTCAGCCCATCACCAAGTTCTCACTCCAGGAACCACAATTTCAAATGTCAGAGTGTTTAGTCAATCCCTAAACACTCTGACTTCTAAATTTCCATTAATTTCTGAACTCCATACCTTCCGAAACTTTATATAAGCACAACTTGAGTTTTGTTCAAAGAGATGTACAGCTCTCCCTTGCTTAACAAACAATAAATTTAGCTTTACATATTATTTCAGATATTAAGAGGTGGCCTCTTCCTTTGACATAGGATTAAATGAATTAATGCATATTAAGGCTTAAAATAGTGCCCGGTACATAGTGGGCACTCGGTAAATGTTATTAATATTACCTAACTAAATAAATATTAGCTCATACTAGTAGGAAATCAATAATGTTTATTAAATACATGAATGCATAAGAAACAAAGTGATATTTACACATAACAGTAATCTGTGACAGTAAACTATGTCACCTGAAAGGGAGGTCTCCTCAGAGTTGTCATGTGACTACAGCCATGAACTCTAGATCAAGTGGCTGGTGAGTTACCCCAATGGAAGAGTGGGAAGAGGGGGCCACAATGGTAGGGGACTGCCTCTGTGAAGAGAGTAGAACTTTCTGCCACAACATTCAGGACACAAGATGACAGTCAAACAGGTTAGCCCACACTGGGAAGGCAGCTGTCCACACCTCTCACCTTGTCACTTTCCACCTGCACTGTCGTTATCTGTGTAGAGGTTTTATTTCTTGCATCAGATCATAAACTTCCACGTTCCATTTTTCTGGACAGCCCAGAAAATAGTTCAGCAGTTGGCATTGGCAGGCACCAATCCAAAATCCCCTGCATGACCCAGTGGCCTAGACACCAGGAGAGCTGAGTTCTAGTCTCACTTGGTCACTTCCAAACACTCTGATCCTGGTACAATACGACCTTCCTGTGCCTCAGTTTCCTCATCTATAAAATAGGAGACAATCTGAGAAAAGTGCTTGGCTGGCTACCAGAAAACTCCTGGGAAGACTAACTAAGATTCAGTTTCCTGAGTTGTTACCCAAAAGATTTTATTCCAGCTCTGACCCAAATATCAAATTTTATAAAGAATTCTAACTTATACTAATAGTGAGGAAATACAGCAACATGCAGGTGGATTTAGGAATCACTGTTCTGGGTGATCTCTAAGGTCATGTTAACATGTTTTGAATGTAAATAATGTAGACATTTGGGGTTAAGGCTTAAGATTATAGCAGAAGTTGAGATATCAGAGAAGACTTCTGAAGTAGAAGACTGATCTCTTTGAATACTGCAGTAATAAATAACAATAATAATTTTAAAACTTCGTCACTTCTTAAGTAGCAACTCCATTGGCAGAGAGCTAAAATTATCACAAAATTTCTCCTTACACTGATTCCAGATGTACATTTCGTGTCATTTCTATAAGCTTTACAGTAAATAGGTGTACAAAGCAAATCTAATATCTCTTCCACAGGACTCTAATCCAAAGATGCAAAGACTTCTATCAACTCTCATCTAGATCTTTTTTTTTTTCCCAGTTAAAACTGCTCCAGTTTCTTCAATGGTTTCTAATGTCCATGGTCACTAGTCTGAATCAGTTTATTTCTATTTTACAAAATGTGGTATAGCACAAAACTCTAGGTGTGGTCTCACCAGCTCTAAATATGATATCTCTAAATATCTCTCATGCTCTGGTCACCATATTCCATCAGTAAGGCTTCCATTAGCACCCTGGTTGATTCCAAAGCTTAAGCTTTGAGACCAGGCAAATCCTGGCCCCAAGTCTAACTACTGCTGTGATCTTACACAAGTTACTTAACTTCCTTGTGATCCAGATTTCTCCTCTGGCAAGTGGTTAAAATCACCATGCCTATGGCACTGAGTCACCGGGAGGTTTGAATATGACAATGCATGCAAGATGCTGAACAAAGTGCCAGGAACAGAGAAAGGAACACAGGAAGTGGTAACTACTAATGTGACTCAGTT